GCAACTCTCTCTTTTTCTCACTTATCACTTTCACTGCGTGTTTGTAAAAGGCCTGCCCGCGACTGCAGTCTGTAATGTATACATTAGCTTCCAGATAGGGCCAGTGCGCGGTCCTCACTTGAGAGTTAGACCACTAGCGGTACCGGAGCGCTGCCTGAGTGGCTCGGAGCAAGGCTGGCTTGAAGCAGCTGACGCTGGCCTTCCTCTTGTCTGGGCACAAGCGGGTGGAGCGAGAAGGAGGAGCCATTAGGAACGAAAGCATCTGCAGTGAGTACAGCTCTAGATTCTGCTTCTTTAAGACAGGAAATTACAGGAGAGAGATGGGCAATGTTAAGGGCTTTGCAGCTGGGGTCTCTTTGCCTTTTGATTTGTCCTAAGAAGGCGGTCCTCCTTAAACACATCTGTTTCTTCAAGTCAAGTGCATTCTGGTAACCTCAGGTTCCAACCCGAAACTTCTGGACTGCTAGAGGGAGCCTAGTACGCGTCCTTAGCCGTCCATGGTGTGTTTTCTTCTGTTCCCACAGGATAGAGAGTAGAGTAAGGCAGGAAAACCTCTCTCACAATCTAATAAGGAAAGATTTAAGGCTGTCAGCTTTTTCCGTCTTTGTTCTTTGCATTGCCCGTTCTTTAGGTGTGTGGAAAGGGAGGGTTGGGTGGGAGCTATTTTTAACAGGCGCAGGGATAAGGAGGGTATTATCTCTAATGCTGGGAAGGTGACCACAGACAAGCATTTGATAGTGGGAGAGAGGGGGAACCCTTGGATTTCAAACGCTGACTGATAAGTCCTCTGTCTGACTCCGGTGGGTACCTGTATGCACTTGGCCTAATGCTTTCTCCTGCACAGTCATGCGCCGCTGTCTAGTGGTTCTTTCTTTTGTGATATCTTTACGGCTAGAAGGCATCTTTTCCTTTATGAAATGACTCATAAGGGAACAGCGTAGAGCTTGCAGCGTCTAGAAGTAGAGGCCCGTGCCGGCTCTCCTACTAGTTCGTTTAAGTGGAGTAATTAATTTGTTTCAAAAGCAGGAATGAGTAACGATGAGGGCAGGAAATTCCGCATGAAATCATTACCATAGTCTCCATACGGCTGAAGCCGTTTCCTTGAATTATGGTGCACGTTCACCCTTTAAATCCGATGGGATTTTTGTGAAAACCACAGAGTATAGGCGTCTCCATGGTGCTATACTGCAATGTGAACTGTGAGTCAGAAATCAAATGGGTATAGCAGTTGTCTCCCAGCAAAGCGTGCAATTAATTCATTTACGCCGCTTCTCAAGCTTGCTAAGCATATGACGCAAGTGTTCTTTCTCAGTGTCAAAAGTATATGTAAAGGAAGGCAAGCGACACAAACCCAAGTGTGAGCTCAGTAAACAATGCGTTGTCTATGTCCGCTGGGTCACACAAGAATGCCCTTGCTTGCAGTCTGATTGGTTGGACATTTGTCACAGGGAAATCTTGCTTTGAGGTTTGACTTTCAGGTCTCCTGCCCTCTCCTCCTGTGAAATGCACGTTCTCTCCCCCAGACACCTTTCTGTTGAGTTTTCCTGTCCCGTTTGTCCCCTGCACACATAACCACATCTGTGCTGTTTCTCTCAAGTAGACGATTCCAAGAGCGGAGTCCTGCTCATGTTTGTTCTGCTGGGAAGAATTAGCAACACTGCTGCGCTTTGTAATTTCTCTTTCTTTGGTGCTGATCTTTTCCTGCTAACTAGGACATGTCGTGGGTTCTGTGTGCGTGCATTGGTATAATGGCAAGCACTGTGTAGTTGGCACACAGCCCTCAGTGTAGACAGGGTCGGAACAGCAATGAACTCGCCAGACCTCTGACTGTGGGCGTCTCATTCTCCTGCCCAGATGAGATCTTACTGTGTGTCTAGTTCAGTTCCTTTACTCTGCAGATGAGGAAACCAAGGCAGAGAGATATTGAGTAAATGTACTACACGCGCCTGTATGTAGCCTGATAGCACATGTGGACGTGTGGATGACATGTCAAGAATTCTTTAACATGTGGGTGAGCTGATTCCTCAATTCACTCTCTAGTCTAAAGTATCGTGTGTATCACACGGTTTAGGAATCTCACAAAATGGGCAGACAGAGAGGCAGGTGGATCTTTGAGTTTGAGGTCAGCAGGATCTACAGAGAGTGAGTTCAGGACAGCCAGGGCTACATAGAGAAACCCTGTCTCAAAGAAACAAAACAAAAACCTGGTAGCCGATAGACGCTGCCCATTAGTTACACAACCCTAGGGCCAATGGGTGACTGTGTGTGTCTGAGGCGGTTCCATGCCCACCATCTGACTCCCAGCCGTCCTTTGGCTCAGTCTAGTTTCTTAGACAGTCGCTCTAACATCAGGGAGTTCTCAGTTTCTAAGCAGTTCTGTGCCCTTGAATAAGCAAGCTTGATTAACCTTTGCTATCAGGTTCCTTTTCTGAGATTGAGATTTGATATTGGCCCCTTAGAAAGCAGAGAACTGATTAATATTTTAGATGTTTCAGAAAGTCAGAATGCCAGCCCGTATGAGGCTGGGGTGTGGCTTGTGACGTGCTGGGATAGCTCAGTCTTCCTGGGGTTGGGTCCCTTCAGTGAAATGTTATCTTTGAGGGCTTTTTTTTTTTTTTAAAAATTATTCAAGTCTGGTATCACTATTATCTTAAAAATTGAACACAAGAATGGTTAAAAGTATGAGGGGTATATTTCTCCCTCCTGTACCCAGGCAGAGAAAGCTGCTGAGTTAACCCAAAACCCATCTATCTAAGGAGGTAGGCACCACAGGAGCCAACCAACTTTATGACATGAGTTTGCTTTTTTGCAAATAACTTTGCTTCAGAAAGGTCACTGATAAGCTTAACTCAAAATTTAGATGTTGGAGAAGTTAGGAAAGGGGAGCCAGACATGGTGCCTGTCAGTCATCCCAGCAGCTGGGTGCTGGAGGCAAGGTGGTCAGAATTTCAAAGCCAGTCTGTGCTGCCTTGGGGAGCTTTTCTACAAGGGGGGGGGGGAGTGGAGAGAGGAGGGAGCACTGGAAGGGCACTGAAAGAACACAGGATTTGATCACTCTTAAGCACTGTGTCGACTCAGCAGGTCTGGTGACTCTCCATGTTCTTTGAAGTTAGATGGTGGACAGTTAGATGTTGTTGGTCAAACTGCGAGCTGTCTTGATTTATTTCCCATCTATATTGGTTGGTAGGAATAACTTTGCTTTGGTTAATGTTTTTTTTTTTTTTCAACTTGAAACAAGCTAGAATCATCTGGGAAGACAACCTCAATTGAAAAAATAATCCTATCAGGTTGGCCTGTGGGCAAGTGTTTTTGTTGATTAGTGATTAATGTGGGAAGGCTCATAGCCTTTGGACAGCGCTGCCCCTGGGTCCTAGGTTGTTTAAGAAAGCAGGTTGAGCAAGCCTCGGGGAGCGAGCCAATGAGCAGCACGCCTCCATGGCCCCTGCATCAGTGTTGAGTTCCTGTCCTGACTTCCTTTCAGGACAGACGATGACCTAGGAGGTAAAGTAGATCTTTCCTGCCCTTCCCTCTCCGAGGTGCTTGGGTCATAGCCCCTATTGTAGCAAGAGGAAGCAAAGCCAGGCACCGCGTGGATATTAAGAATCTGAAGAAACGTGAGCTACTTTTCCAACATGAATCACATTACTTTTCTGAACTTTTGATCAGCTGCTTTACAGCAATAAAAGTATAACTTGAATGTGTTTAAAAAAAACAAACAAACCTACCTCAAACTGTCAACCTTGTAAAAACAAACCTCAAACTATCAACCTTGTTAAAATCCAAAAACTCCATTAGCCTTGGGTAGACGCTGCTCCTGAAACTGAAATAACATCCACTTATTAGAAACCATAGGCCCACAGGGTCTTGATGCTGGACCACTGCTAGGAGGCAGGCAAATTTATAGCGGGATCATCGGTAGTAACTAATCTTCATTCTCTAAAACAAACTTAGTTCAACACGATGCTCAGCTATTATTCTCGCCTCTCTGGTAACCTTTTACTAGGAGGTGTCAGCACAGTTTATGCCTAAAATTCCAAAAGCCTCTGAAGTTTTCAATATAACCACATATTAATGTAGCATGGGTTTAACATTAGTTAATCACCATTAAGTAGACTTAGACCTATTGGGGTATAATCTATTTTTCAAGAAACTAACATTTTGGAATTGCTACATCTATGTATTTATCATCTATGTATCTATGTACGTACTATTTACTTACCTACCTACCTAATCTTCAAAATGAACACTGAGACCAGCACAGTGTGTTTTGGAATTAGAATACTCTCCTTTAGTTATTCATGTACTGAATATGTTGGCTTTAGTCAAAATGATGTTTGGATGTATGCATTAGGAAAGCCCCTATTAATCATTGTTTCCACAAAACTGCATTATTTTTCTCTCACCTGTCAACAATGCTGGGAGAGTAGCTCCTTGGTACCCACTGGACCCTGTGCTTCATGTCCTCTCCGAGGAGCACCCCAGAGCATCTCCTGGCCTGACTTGGAGCTAGAAATGCAGCCACGGAGGCCATCGCATTCACTAGAACAACAGGGGAAAGCAGAGGGGCAGGAGGGTGGCATCTTCTGATTCAGGCAGTCCCTCGAAACAGCTCTCAGAATTTCTACACACCTATTCCACTTGCTGCTCATTGGCCAGAACTTGGCTACAGGGAGAGCCATAGTTAGCTACAAAGGAAATGGGGGCTGTAATTCTTAAATTCTGGGCAGCAATATTCACAGCTGAACCTCAGCATTTTGTTACTAAGGAATGAGGGAAATGGGTATTTGGGGAGATGCTACCACTGTGGTTTTGTGTTACATGCTGGGTCTTGGGGCTATAATGTAGAAAATCAAACATCTCTTTCTGTTTTTGTTATGAGCAATGGTTTCTTAATTTAGCAATCTAGCTTTATTTAGAAACCCCGTTTCTTCTGTGAAGTATCGTTGCTTTATTTGGCAATCTAGTCTGACTTTGCTTTCTTATTTCCTTCTGCCTTTCAGCTGTTTTGGAAAGAAGTAAGGCTTAGATTTCTCCATGTTAACCATGAGCGTGACGCTTTCCCCACTGAGGTCACAGGACCCGGATCCCATGGCTACTGATGCCTCGCCCATGGCCATCAACATGACCCCTACTGTGGAGCAGGGAGAAGGAGAGGGAGAAGAGGCCATGAAGGACATAGATGCTGAGCCACAGTACGGAAAGCCACCCCCGCTGCACACAGCAGCTGACTGGAAGATCGTCCTACACTTGCCTGAGATTGAGACCTGGCTCCGGATGACCTCAGAGAGGGTCCGTGACCTCACCTACTCAGTCCAGCAGGATGCAGACAGCAAGCACGTGGACGTGCATCTAGTTCAGCTCAAGGTAAGGCAGGTTCTCTGGAAAGAGACTGAAAAAGGCCCCGGTTATTTTAAGTTTTAGTTCTGTGACTGCCAATGAGGAAGAGTCAACAGGGAAAATAGAGTAGCAGATTTGAAACCATCATTCTTGATGGTAAACTCAGATTATTTCTCTTCTAATTTTACTACATATGCCAGTTATCTAGAGCAAAACTGGCCTTCGAGGATAGAACAGAGATACAAGGGAAGGGATGGGGCGTTTTTGTTCAACTTCACAGAAATCAGTTGTGGGAAATGAAAGGATCATATAAAAGACGACGACAGGTGTCATGAAGGCTCTCGTGGTAGAGCATCAAGCTGGGATGGTGAGCAGGTCATGTGATTGGTACCTTTGTCTGAAGCCGATGCTGTCTTTGAAGCCAGCAGTGGTTCCTACCCCGGTGGGAAGAGCAATGTTCTCCTTGTTGAGTGATCTTCCATCCAAAGACACCGCATCACGTAGGAGAAAGGAGCTTTTTATAGCAACCCATCTAATGTCAGACATTTGGGAAATGTCTGTGGCTTCTGGAGACCTTGGGAAAGTGTCACAGCACAGAGGTGCTAGAGGTGCTAGAGAGAGTGCAATTAAACCAGGGCTCCAAAAATATAGTCTGTGACTTCTACCCTGCATATAGGCCTTATATAAACTTGGCATTAGACGGGGTTCTGAGGAAGATTCTTTTACCTAAGCTGGCTCATCTTACACGACATAAACACATTCTTCGCTTTGCACGCTGAAATGATTTAAAGATCTAAGCACCATAGACAAACGGTGTGCGGTTAAGAGAGAGCACATTTCTCAGTGTTTAGAGTGGATCTGGCTTAGCCTTTTCAGATTGGTGCCCCATATCCTGTGACAGAAGCCCCAGCTGGATTCCTGCTGTTGTGATAAAGCACTGGGACCAAGGGCATCAGGGGCAGGAAAGGGTCAGGTCACAGTCTGTCACTGAAGGAAGTCTGGACAAGAACTCAAGGCAAGAACCTGGAGGCAGGAGCTGAGCGAGATGCCCCAGAGGAATGCTGGCTTGCTCCTCATGACCTGTTCAGCCTGCTTTCTTATAGAACCCAGGACCACCAACCCAGAGACGGTACCACCCACAATAGGCTGGGTACTCACCAGTAATTAAGAAAATTCCCTGCAGGTTTGCCTATAGCCACATCTTATGGAGGCATTTTCTCAATTGTGATGCCTTCTTTATGTTGTGCCCAGTCTGAGCGGACCTCAAAAGACCACCAGAGAGACCGGCTCAGTGAAATACAGAAGCAAGGTTTATTGTGTGCACAATACAAGCCAGCCTCGCCCTTCTAGAGGGCAATATTTAAAGCAAAACCCAGAGAAGTTACTAGCAGGGTGTGGGGTGTTGATTGGCTGACATTCGTCTAGGGGTGTCCTGGTGTAAAGTGATGGGTGTGTGCTGGCAGGTGATCCTATCTTCAATGGCTGGAACATTAGGAATTTCCTTTGGTCTCTTTCTGGGTGGTGCCTGGGTAGTTTCAGTTTGTGGTCTTTATGGGAACCAGGTATTGCCTCGGGGTAAGCTACTGAGACTCAGGTCTCTATTGAGGTTGTCACGGCTGGATCCCACATTCATCCACTTAACTCTAGATTATGTCAAACTTACAAAACCTGACCAGACACCAGATTGCTTCATCAGTGTTAAGACAGGCCAGGGAGGAGAAAGACAGGCAAGAAGGCAGGAGGAAGGAAGGAGGGAAGACAGAGAGGGGACCATGTGAGAGAGTGAACAAGTTTAAGCAGGAGAACCATAATGGTGTTGGTAGCTGCTCCCTACTGGTGGCACAGGCCTGGGGTCTTTCTCCTGCTTTCCACAGTTTTGTGGGAAGAAGTCACCAAGATGGCAGGGGCATGACTGGAAGCTACCTCAGTGAGATGCTAGCCCCTGCTAGCATCCTCCTGTGGCAATAGGGAGTACTGTGACTGATCCCAGGTGTAGTTTATACAGAGGGATAGTCCCTGGCCATCTTGGGGTCAGAGTAAACTAGAAGTTGGGACACTCCTTTACCTTGCTCCCTCCAGTGCTGAGCCAGTGTGTGGCTTCTGCAAGTTAATGCAGGATTGAGTTTGTAAGGAAAGTCAGCTGTTACCTCTTAAATCCTTTGCATTTACACTGGAAGTTGGTAAATGCTAGCAGCGAATGGGAGGGGGTGGACATAACTTTAGAAGACAGTTAAAAGCACTATTAATATTTAAATGGTCTTAAAATGCTAATTTGTCATCAACTTCATTTAATTAGACCAATAATACACACATGGAAGCTCATATTTTAACTTAGGAATGTGTATTTTTGTGCCGTGAATGTATAGTTGTATATAGCGTTTGAAGAACCATCCCTAGGAACATCTGCTTTTCTCACTGTAGCTAACTATCATGACACTTTCATCAGAAGCCTTCTCTTTTCTGTCTCTGCTCTATCCCAGGGTGTGCTTTATTTTCTCTGCTGAGAAAAGAACTGCAGGAGATGTAAGGTGGGCATATGATACCAGCCAATGGCTGTTCAGTGATGAGCTGGAATTGTCTTATGATACCAGCCAATGGCTGTTCAGTGATGTCAACCTTCATTTTATTCTAGGAGTTTTGTTAGCATTTTTCTGGGTACTTGTTTCATGAAGCCACTTAACTAAATTCTCCATAGTGTTTTCAAGTTTGTGTGACAATGGAGCCCTTCCCCATTGAGCCCAATGTCAGCAAGCTCTAGTCAGTGTGTGTGGCCTCCACTGCCATCTGTACAAAGGACTTACTTTTAAATCTCAACATGCTTAGGCCATTTCCCCCTTGATTTATATAATGTTTCTTTTTCCAGTGAAATTTTGAGGCATTTAAATTTTAAAATATGTCATCTTTCTGCATTCTGCACTAATTCAAAATAACAAAGGCATCTTAGCACTGTGTCTTAGTAGAAATTGATGAGGACAACCTTGTAAAGCAGCTCCCAGATGAGCCTTGTGGCAAAGCAGAGGGACAGCTCCAACTTGGGTAAATTGTCCCAGCTCCTCATTCACCAAATCCCTCTCAAGTAGTGGTCATTTCCTATTGACCAAGCTTTCAAATCTATGTCCCTATGAGGGCCATTCTTATTCAAACCACCACTCCACTCTCACCTCCCTTATTTCCAAGTCCTTAGGGGACATTTGACTATAAGCTCCAGATTGAGCTAATCTTTATCACAAAGTTTCCACAGGGGTGTGACAGTTACTGCAAATGAAAAAAAAAATACCCCCCCCCCCAAATTAACCTTAAGGAAAACCAACTTATACTAAATCCTTTCTCCATTATTTTTAAAACTGAACACACAACTGGCATATTTCACTTTCTACTTTGCAGACTATCCCTAGGAAGAAGTATGAGAAGCAGCTGTACCAGCTTTAGAAACTTGCCCCACTCACCTCAGGTTTGGAAATTGTGGGACTCTAGAAAAGCAGACCAAATACCGTAAACCATGCCGAGCGACTGCACGCACACATCTAAGTACTAAACAGGCCACGTAGGCCCCTTCTCAGGGACGATGCTATTTATATTCCCAAAGACTCCGTAGCAGGGGCGAGGCAAGGCTTGGACTAGCTGGAATAAGCGATGTGTGTCTAAGTAAACAGAACTCTGGAAGCGACTTAACTGGAATCAATTCCTGACTTTAAATTCTCCTTTAAACCACCACCACTCATGATTTGTGTCTGTGTCTTTGGTTTTCAAAGTCAGAACCCTGGATACAATCTCTGTTTACAAGATGCTCTGACTGTCTGTGATGCCTGTGGCATCTGGGAGTTAATCCAGACACCCACTAGCTCACATGGGGTCTGGAGGTTGCTGGGAAAAGGCTTCTATATCTGCTGCACAGCTGGAGTTTGTACAGATGTGCCTGATCTGAAGGTGGTGGAAATCTAGGGGTGAGGGGCTCCTAGGAGAGGCTTCATGGCCATCATAGGGCCATGAGCTATTTCAGAATGACAGAGAGGAAGAGATGTGGTGGGTAATGGCTTGGAGGATTCCCAGCCCTGGGACAGAGCAGTGTGGGCAATAACCAGTGAGGGAAAGAGTGGATGGTTATAACCTCAACAGTGACATGTTTGTGTGTCAAATTGACAGGGGTCACTTGTGCTGGCTGGTTTTGTCAGTCAGTTTGACACAATCTAGAGTCATCTGAAAGGAAGGAACCTCACTTAAGAAAATGCCTCCATAAGATCTAGCTGTAAGGCATTTTCTTAATTAGTGATTGACGAGACCCTTCCTATAGTGGGTGGTGCCATCCCTGGGCTGGCGGTCCTGGGTTCTATGAGAAAGCAGGCTAAGCAAGCCATATAGAGCAAGCCAGTGAGCAGCACCCCTCCATGGCCTCTGCATCAGCTCCTGCCTCCAGTTTCCTGCCCTGTTTGGATTCCTGTCCTGACTTCCTTCAGTGATGAACTATAATGTGAAAACATAAGCCAAATAAACTCTTTCCTCCCCAACTTGCTTTTGGTCATAGTGTTTCATAGTGTAACCCTAACCAGGATACCTCACAAAGTCAGGAGAGACGAGAGTGGAGAAGGGCGTACACACACAGACATTAGCCATTTTGGTCAGAATATACAACTATATATTATTTTCTTAATTTCTTAAAGAGAAAAGAAGAAAGCTCGTTCTCTCTTGTTTATTGAAGTGGAAATCATCCATGGGACCAGACAGGAGGCGGCTCACCTGTGGCCATGCGGTTACACATGAATGGCTCCTTTTGAAGCTGTGAAGCTGTGTTGTCTGCCACCCACACAGCCTGCTGGAGCCACTTTGTTCCAGGGAAATGGTCCGAATGAAGAGCACTTTGCCCCCAAAGCACAGAGGGGCAGTTTCCTGCCCTCTAAAATGGATGACGTATCATGGAGCTTGAGCTCCATGGCATCGCCTTTGGAAGGCCATGGAGACTAAAGTGTCCCAGGGGATGGTGGGGCTTGATAGAGCAGTCATACAAATATCTATAAAGGTCAAATGTGGTG